TTTATCAAATATATTATATTATTATTAAATATTATATACGTTTGAGTAAAAATATACAATTTTTAATTATTGAATTTTAATGCATTGTGAAATATATAGAGACCAAAAAAGGTTAAGAATCTCTAACTTTGGCAAAGAAAATTGTATTTAAATACAAGATTACAAAGATAAATATTAATGGATTACTTTCATTAAAAAGAAAATCGAATTGATTGGAATTGGCGGTGCTTTTGAAGCTATCTGTGGCTTTTCTAACGAGTTGTAATACTTCTTCCACCGCTTCCTCGATCATTGTACTCTTACGATGTAAATCTACCGCTGCCATCCTACATATTTCCTCGTTTTTCTCTACAAATTCTTCTATCATCCATGGTTGATCGGATTCAGGTAAAGCGTGCAAGGTTACTTTTTGCATACTCGCCAATACTTGTAAAATCCTAGCACAATAAATCATTAAAAATATTATTATTTAATTAATTTATACAATTCTTTAAATTCTTTAAGTGTTGTTTCTCTCTTTTTTTATCTCTCAAATTGTAGCACAAAATAATTATTATTTTTCTTTTATATATAATAGTTAGTTGTTACTATAAAATTCATTCAATTTTTAATAAATTGATACTCCTATTGTGCGATAATTTGCTTTTAAAGAGAAGAACGAACTATTTATTTTATTCTCAACATACCTATTATCGTATACATCATGAACTCTTGTGATAAGAATATCGAAGGTTTTGATCTGTTCCTTTGTATTCTGACAAAAATCCTTCCAATCTGGCTTAGTCCACGTTAAAGTTGTTAAGCCAGGTTCTAATAAAGATGCAACGCAAACTAAATGCGGTAACAATAGCGGCCGAACTTCCAATTTTACGCGCTTGGCGGTACAAATGAATTCCTCAATCATAAGTTGAAGAGAATCCGTGATCAGCGTAAAATAATCTTTTTTCGTTAATATTGTTAGTGCAACGATTGGAATCTCCAAATTTATTTTCGCTAAACAATCGGCTTCACGGAATAAAAGAACGATTCGATTTTCCAAGTTGACCTTTACTTTTGCCGATTTCTCATCAACTACCAAGAGCGGTCTATTATATAGAATTATTTTCTTTATAATATTTATCACATTTTATATGGAGAATTTTTTAAATATACATTTAAAATTTATTTAAGAAAAATAATTTTTTATTATTTAAAATCTGACCGTTTCAAACAATCCTCGATGACCCAGGAATTTTGATGCGTCCAAATCTCAGCAATGTCGGCCTGATATTGTTTTAGAATAGCGATAGCGTGATTGTATCTTTTCATTAAATCGACAGTTAGTGGTAACGTCTTTAGAACAGGATGATTTGATACGGATGCCGTCAACTCATCCAGATGTACTCTAATGAAATTTCAATCTTGCTGTTAAGAAAGTTATTTTCAAGATTTTACATCTAACAAAATTTTTAATATTTCTTCGATATGTCAAATATTTGTAAAAATAATTAATTATTTTCCTTACTTTAAGGAATTTGCCCAAGTCAATCGTCCAACTATAGGTGGCATGTGTCTTGGCAACGGCGGATCATCTCTTTGCCGCTTGAACAGTTTTAAAATTCGATCTATCTCTTTATCGGAATATCTCACGACAACGTTGTACTTCTCTTCCAATTTTGTTAGCGGTATTTTTTCGCTAACCTTATAAAAACATCAAAGGAAGCACCGTAATGAGAAAAATAGGTGACTTTAAAATATTGTGCAATACACTTCACCTTTATAGATTTATTTTAAAAAAGTTGGAGATATATTTATTAACCTTTTCAAATCGTGTTAGAAACCGTATACCCTGCGGTGTTTCCCATACATCGGCGTAATTATTTTCAATGATCTCGCCGATATTCTCTTTTAATATGTTTGTTTTCATCATAAAGTCATCATAGTCAATATCAAAATCAATATTCCTTGGATCCAGATAATCGTAAGATTTGCTAGTAGCGATCTTCTTAGTTTCTTCAAAGGTTTTCATGGCCTCATCTAACGCTAAAATTTGACATATCATAATTTAGAATTAGCATATATATATGCATATTAAATATAACAGAGTATATAAGAGTTGATATAATATAATAACAATATTAATTTTAAAATTAATATAATTAATTAATCACGTAATCAAAAATTTAGCAAAATTAGTTATCAATTTTAAAATTAATGCTATCATTATATTACATTAACTTATATACTTTGTTAATAATTTTGTTAATTTAATAAATATTCTTGTAAAACGAAAATTAGACATCAAAACTATACATATACTGTACCTTCTCCAAGAAGTAATCCTTCCATTCGTCTCTCAAAAAGAGTTTGATAATCCTGTATGAGATCAAACATGGTAAGAATCTTACGAATTCTAGCACAGAAAGCATCAAATCGACCGAAAACATGGGTTTCTGAGAAAGAGAATTCTTGTTCTGTAACTGCTGGCGAACATCGAACCAATCTGTATGTTTCTCTGTAAGCTCTTGAGTAAAAATTAATTATATTAAAATTAATTATTTATTGCTTCTATTTCTTTTGACATTAAGGACATAAATTTCATGATTAATTGATATAATTAGAAATTGTATTATATACACGTATTTACATTTTCAACACAGAGGAACTATAAAATTTTATCAAAAATTTACAAGAACATTCTACGCTAGATTGATAATAAAAAAAAAAAAAACTAAATTTATTAGTTAACTATTAGTGTTTCGCAAAATTAATGTTTGATGCAAAATTTCAGTACTTATTTAGACGTAGACAATGCTTTAGTCTTGATCGAGCGGCTATTCGATCTTGGCCCCAAATAGTTTCCCGACCTCTTTTCGTGACATAATCTCGACAGGCGGCGATCATCTGATTTGTGATTTTGATCATCAAGGAACTCGTTCTTTCGGAAGTGTTATAATATCTCGAGACACTATATATCAATCGAACAGTTTGCAATAGTGACACAAGCGAATCTCGCATTTTTACCTACGAAAATGGAACATTTTAATTGCATTCAAAAATATATACATTCATGAATAGCTCTATGATTTTAAAACTATATATATATAAGAAAAAAAAATGTTTTTATGTTTTATAAAAAGAAAATTATCTTACAGGTTCATCGAGATAAAGGCAATGACAGCATTTCTCTAGTGCCTGAATAAATTTTGCATTATCTTTCGCTTCATTGTAACAATAAGTCACTTCATCTTCCGCGTCGACCCAATCTTTAATTAGTTTTGAACGTGCAACTTGTAGACATAGAAGTGACATAGTGACTTCGTGATCCTACAAATTTTTTTCTATATTTAAAATTTTATATTTGACATAGAAACCTTATACATATATAAAAAATAAACCAAAGACACGATCTCCATTATACATATATTATTTTATTAAAATAATTTATGGACAGAATTAAAATAATTAATAAAAATAAATAATAAATTATTACATAAATTAAAGTTATATAAAAAAATAATATAGAGCAATACCTGTAAATGATTGACTAGCTGACTAAATTGTGCGCCTCGCCGTTTCCAATATTCGAGTTCTTGCTGCGGTCCGGAATTATCGTTCTCTCTTTTAACTTGCTTACTTTCCGCCATAAAGTCTTTGAGCTTTTTTATCCAGTATTTGACTTTTTCCTCAACTTGTTCAACGGCGTTCTCTTTTGCTACGAAAGCTTTCGCTTGTTCAAAGTTGTGCACTTCCATCATCATCGGTTCGCCGTCACTGAATATGCTACCCTCAAATGCTACCTTCTCGCAAACTTTATAAATATATTACATGCATTTTAATAGACATAATGACAACTTTAAAAAGATATATCTTTGTGTTTATAACATAATTATTATATAATTATCCATTTTTAGAAGTTTATACTGCATTATTATATAATTATCTATTTTTAGAAGTTTATATTGCAATATTTGAAAATATTATTTTGATATAAATACGGATATAAGATTTATAACTTTATTTTAATTTGTTATAATTTAATTTTAATTTAAATATACCTATAAGAGCGCTGCAAAAGGATCTCAAGCCCGGTAGCAGGAGACTCTTAATCATCGAACAATCATCTTCACCTTCCGGACCAGGATGCGCTAACGCATCCATGAATACTTGTTCCACAACACGCTGGATAGAGGTTATTACGCCCACTTTCATCGTATCTACCACACCCGTGTAGAGATCTTTTTGAAATCCTTCTTCTGGTAACTGTTTAGATACGCTGATTCTGCATAAAAAAAATGGTAAGATTGATAATAATTAACATATTTCCTTTTTTTTTTAAATATTGTAGCAATTACGATCACTAACACGCGTTATAGTACAATATATTAATCTGAAATTATAATATTATTACCTAAACATATAAATACAAATGCCTGTGCAAGGCATTTGCCATCCATCAGTTAGAAAAAGCTTCTTCTTCGGTGGTTCCTTTGGCTCTTTTTGTTCTTTCACTTTTGATGCTGTTGCATTTGGGGCTGATCTAGAAGTTATAGCCTTTGGCTGCACCTTTAATGAGATCTTCACTATTATCCCTTCCTTTTTTTTGTTTAAAAAACATGTCATTGTACCGTATCAGTTGGAGGTTCTGGCTCTTCAACTTCCTGATAGTACCACATTAGGGTAGATCTCATATGCGGTACGAACAGTTGATTGATCTCATCCAGCATGTCACCCTCGAATACATGATCCATGACTTCATGACGCGACAGCTGCGTTGCATCCATCAAGAGCTGAAAGGCAAATTCCAAACGGGGGTCCATCTCTCCCCGTCTGGCTTTTCTCTCGCATTCTTCCCGCCGTTTCTGTAAGCACAAGATAATTTTATTAGATATAATTGTAATATTAAATCAGCGAGGTATGAATAATAATATTCAATTATATCTAAATTTGCCAAATTATTATACAATTTTTGTATGTAAATTTGTATTTATTATATGTAAATTTAATATTATTATTTTAGCTAATGGCGCGCATATATGATAATTAAAATGGGGTGGGGAAACGCGGCAAAAACTGATGATATATAATATTAACATATGTCTATATAATATGTATATCATATATTTTTACATATTCTTGCAATTATCCATATGTAAATTACAAATCTGTATCAAATCTATAGTATTTTCCTTCTTTTGTTTTAAATATATTATTGCACAAAACACGCTGCAATGTCAAGCCAGTTCCGTTATGAAGGATTGACCTGGAGAACATCTTCAGGACCTTCCTCGTCGCTATCATCTTCGGAATTGCCAGATCTCTGTTTGATGATTTGTGGTCCTTGCACAAACATGACGAGATAAGTGAAAAACGACTTGCTGACACGTTGAAAGCTCACTGAGCAGAAAAGTGCAAACTGCACCGAAAGCTACCCTCGAACTCAGCGGATTTCTGCGAGCACATAAGGTGGTGCGAGGAGATAGCTCACAGTGCCACGGTTTCGTGTCTGGTACCGCCCTCCGACGCATTTCGTGTCGTGTGGGAATTTCCACGCGATTCGACCGCTACTAGTCAATATCGTTACATTGTAAGCATTTTCTTTGGGAGCCGCCGAATGTTAATCATATAGATCGTTGGGTAAGTAAATCGTAACAGAAGTAAATCGTATTTCTCAGGCCTTCTGTATATAACTACCTTTTTTACTATTAATAATATCATACTATTATCACACGATAATATCATAATATCATTGTGTGTGTATCAAATGTGTGAGAATCAAAGACTAACAAGAGCAAAAATCTTTGAAAAAAATTATTTTTCAAAATTTTATTAATGTGGTTAAATAGAGGTATTTTTACCATAAAACTTTTGTATAAAACATTTTTTGATATCTCGAATAATTGTCGAGATATATCGAGAAAAGCAAAAAACCGCTCTACAGATGAGGGGTGATTTCATCCCTTAGAATCGCTTTTGGACCGCAACTGGAAATTTCTAAATTCATCTATTTACCTCCCTTACATATGTGTAAAATTTCGTCAGAATTTTCAGGTTTGCAAGATTTCCTTGTTAGTTTTTGATTCTTTAGTGCCAAAATGGTTCATTTGCGGACACGGATTTATTGACAAAATTGGCTTGATGTCCTCTATATAACCATTTGAAGTTTGCCGGTCTAATTCTGAGACACCCTGTATATACATATATATA